CCTCCAACCTAAGAGCGATGGCCTCCAACCTAAGAGCGATGGCCTCCGACCTAAGAGCGATGGCCTCCGACCTAAGAGCGCTGGCCTCCGACCTAAGAGCGATGGCCTCCAACCTAAGAGCGCTGGCCTCCAACCCAAGAGCGATGGCCTCCAACCCAAGAGCGATGGCCTCCAACCTACTAGTTTTCTGCGCCATTCTATCCCAACACATCCAGGCAGGTGACTAATCTGGCAGCACAAAGCGCACCCAAGTGCTCCAGCGCCAGGCCCTCGGTGAAGATCAAAACACAACTTCAAAAAGTCAACAACCCATCCGTTCACGGCCAAAGCACTTCAGCCAGTGTGCTCCTGACTCTCCACATCTTCTTTTGGGCCCATGACATTCATCACATCGCCGGCAACTGCAACGAAAGAAAATACGAATTCATCTCCCATATCCAAACCCAGACAAACACCCACACCAACCAGTTGGGCCCATCGACATGCGCAGCGCCAAAAAGCTCCTCCACCTGCTTCATGGAGAGCCTCCGACCACTCGCTTTGTGAGTTGCTGAACGCGGTTTGCGATTTCTACAGACTCACCGTGTCGACGATTTCATGTCCAAAGGGCCGAAGTTCCCAAAAACGGCCGGGTCATGGAACTAATAGAGACCCTAAATGGAAGCCAAATCTAAGCTATGAATGGCACCTACCAATCTGGGCGGAAGAAAAAGAACTCATTTTTCTTCCTGCTTCCGTAAACGAGTCGCAACCGAAACACCGTGAGTCGCGAGTCCACACCAGTCGGCTCGTCGTCACCAAGTCGCACCTTCGGCTCAAGGTCCACCGGCCTTGCTTTTGAAATTCCTGCCGATTTCAATAATGGCCTCCAACCTAAGAGCGATGGCCTCCAACCTACTAGCAATGGCCTCCAACCTAGTAGCAATGGCCTCCAACCTAGTAGCTTCTTGTTACAATGAAAGTCCTTGCAATGCGCCAAGAGTATCTTCAAGGCTCCACTTCCCACCAGTGGCAAGGGGATTTCCTCCTCCTCAGTGGTGAGAAAAAGAGAAGCTGGCGGTACGCTTGGTGGGTTGTATCATGTGATATCCAGGTCCAAGACTGTGACACATGATACGCTTTGGAGCGTTGTGTTTGGAATATCAAGGGAAAATGTCTGTCTAAGAGGGAAAAAAGAACACTTCAACAATTACAGGTTGTTGAGAAAAGGTTTCAAAGGGAGGGAAGCGGAGCTCGGTGCTGTGTGTTGCTCAGCGGAGCTCATGAACAGAACTTCCGTGATCAACTCACAAAGGTTTCTGGAAGATTTGAAGGCAGGTATTGTTTTCTTGGCCAGGAAAGCGATGTTTTCCACAAAAACCCAAACAAAGAATCTGCAGTCTCCAGATGTTCTTTGTTTCAGTCCTTTAAACGTTCTTCAATGACCAAGCGTCGGTGTCCGTGCTCGAAAGCACTGGGCTTAGATCAAGGATCCAGTCATCAACCTCGAAAATGTCCTGATGCCGGGGATTCAAACGACATTGTGGCAGTATTCCTTGGTAGTCGTAGTGTCACTGATACTGCTACTGCTAGTTAGTGGTAGTCGTGCTAGCAGTGTAAGTAAGTAGTGGTGATAGTAAGGGGCAGCGGCAACCAAAACCAAGTGCAAACATGGTGACGTTCTTGTACGCAATGTGTGTCGTCATGCGATACTTGATTGAACTCCTTCAGCCATTTAGTCTTGCTTGCCAGGTTTCCCAAAACAATCGACTGCAAAATCAAGACCAAACTATTAAAAAAGGCGACTAGTTACTAGTTCATCCGTCAACCCGCAAAGATTGTAGTAGATTAAAGATCCATCAAGCGTCTCCATCCCGCGAGCGAAGAAGGAGCACCATGCCAGCAGGCATGGCAAATGTGATGGTTCAGGTGCAATCTGAACATTTTGGTTGGATCCCAAATCCACTGACAAAATTACTTTCAAAAATTCGCGTCTCCTTGGGCGTACGTTGTTTGCTGTGTCGTTCGTGGTTGAGGCATTTAAGAAACCCCCTTCGCACAACAAAATAGACATGTTTTATGTCAAAACCTTTTTTGTCTGCCCTGCCCCCCCCTCCCCAAAACAAGTGACCTAGTATTTGTTTGAGTGAGGATGGCTCAGAAAGAGGATGCATGAGAATTTAAATATGTTACAAGGTGATTCCCTCCATCGGGTGAACACCTCAAAATATGCTATGCCTGTGCCATGCAAGTGTCATCACGGATGTTTCGTGCGAAAGCATGCAAGAAAGTCCTGCCTGCCATTGGAGGTTAACAACTAAACAACTATCTGTAGTACTACAACATAATGAATTTCTGACTAACGTTAAGGATAGATCACACTGTAGAGAAGCGGCAATTACTTCGTTCATCACAGTCATCGCAGTTGGTTTGTGGCAAGGATCTGGATCCAACATTCCCCAACGACTACCTGAAATTCCTCCAAAAACGCAACGTTTAAAAACTTCAGATGAATGAGGGCGCCCCGCCTCTGCCACTTTTTCGAGGTGCAAACGACAAAAACTCATCGTGCTGTGTTAGCATCCGGCAGTTCAAGTGAAACCGTCCGTACTCGGCATGTGGCAGAAAGCACATGCCTCGTTGAGAGGAAAATGTATGAAATGACTCCACAAAAGTTCCCTTCGAATGCCTCGTACGGACACTCGTTCTAAGGCGGCATGGTTCTAAGTTCCTGTCCCCACCTCATCAGAACCCGGCTGGATCAACGCCCTGAATGGCGGGCTCACTGAAGCATCTCCGATATGTTTCTACAATGGAGCATCATGGAGCATCAACATGAAATCAAGACTCAAGACATGAGACAATAATAGGGCAACTGAATCCAAGCAGCTAGGATTGATTTGCCAAGTCTACATGCGCACCTTGGAGTCATCTGACGAGCCAGTCAGCCTTGAGATGGTCGTCTTGTAGATCTCCTGGCCCACGTGAGGGCCCATACTCGCGCGTCTCGTTTGGTGGTAGAACTGGGCGGGAATAGTGCCACAAGTATCCACGCAATGGCCTCCAAGCTACTAGCGATGGCCGACCTAATAGCAAACTATTTCCTTAGTTCTTCGTTTCTACTAGCAATGGCCTCAACACAGACCTATGTCTTTCTTCGCTTTGAGGGCAGAATGTGCAATGCACAGCACGGCACCTCATCTTTGGTCAACGAAGTGAATTCCAGCGACCTCGTTGCTTCGAACGTGCACGTGCCAAGCGCAAGAGTCACCTGAATGACCTGAGTGACCTGAACCGAACTGCGTGAAGAAGAGCCGGCACGACCGTTTGGTCTAGACCTGAACCAAAGCTCTAGGCCTAGGTTTTTCACTGAGCCAGGGACTCCCACAGATCTGAACGTCTCTCACTCACCACGGGCGCAGCCTGAACTGAAGAGAAGCTTCGCGGTTGGCCTGGTGAATCTATACCTGCCAAGGCCTAGCTGCAGAATCCCAATGCAAAGTCCAACGACCCAAGTCGCCAGCCTCTCGTTGCAGGATGAGACCAGCTCCTGTGCTCCCACCTTTCTTCTGCAAGAGGAGGTTCAGGTCCTGTTTGGGGCGTTCTCGGCATAAAACACTGGGGGCAAAGCTGTGCAACCCTGTCCCTCCATGACCCTGTGCCTGGCAAGAATGCCACAAGTTGACAAGACCACTGACCTTCTTTTTGCCACTGCTTGCGTCTCGGAATTGTCACCCGGCAGTTCACAGGGCTTGCAGCTGATTTTGGACTCTTCTACTGTTGGCACCGTATTCATCGTGGCCCCAGGTGACCAGAATCTCATGGCCCTCGCTTCGACAAATGGCAGCAAAAGCACCGCGAGTGGCTTGGATTGTGTTCACATCTTTCAGCTGATCTTTCACTTTGCTGCAGTCTCCACCCCCACCTTTATTTCCCCAACTCACTACGGTTCCATTCGCAAGGAGCGCTGCAAAAGCACTGTCGGCACCGCAGATATGTACGACATCCTGAAGTTGATCTTGGACTTTGCTGCAGTCACTGCCATGATCCGAACTGCCCCAAGTGACCACCGAACCTTCGGCAATGGCTGCAAAGGCACCAAAGGAAGCATGAACTTGCTGCACGTTTGCCAGCTTGTCCCGGACCGAGCTGCAGCAGCCACCGTGCTTGGGATCTCCCCAAGTGAAAACACTCCCATCCCGTCGCACTGCTGCAAAAGCTCCTCGACAAGCACAGATCTGCCGCACCTCACGCGCCTCTGCGACTGCATCACCCAGATCGCCCCCGCACCTAGGATCGCCCCAGGTCACAACTGTTTCATCTCCCAGTCGCGCGGCAAACGCCCCGTAGGTCGCCCGAATCTCGCGCACATCGTTCAACTGAGCCACGTCGCAGTCTCCGCCTCGCACCGGGTCGCCCCAAACAACCACTTGACCGCTGGGCAGGAGGGCGGCGAAGGCAGAGGAGGACGCGGAAATGCATACATCGTGAGGCATCTCCACCGAGCAAGCACCGCCGGCCTCGGGATCACCCCAAGCGATCCAAGATCCAGCCTCACAAAGGGCACAGAAGGCACGCTCTGTGGAGTAAATCTTTTTCGCTCTGAGATCTGGAATTGCATCGCCACCGCAAGAGCTTTGGCCCCAAGTCACGACGCGTCCATCATGGAGAAGGGCAGCAAACGTTATTGAGTTTGAACTGGTAGCAGGCCAAGTAGACCATACCAC